CCCCAAAACCCCAAAACCCCAAAACCCCAAAACCCCGTCAGGCTGCCTTTTAATTGAAATATCCGATTATAATTTAAACAGGGCTTTAAAGATGTATTCAGATGAAGAACAAGGAGACTTTTTAGACGAGGTCGTCAGGACTCCAGCTGAGTTAGAAAGTAAGTTTGAAAGAGAAGGGGTGGGTCAGGGTGGGGATATTTTTTGTGCTTTTGTGGAGCTTTGTTTATGGTATGATTATAGGAGAAGAGTTTGAAAGAAAAAGGAAAGGGACACTTCATGGAGGAGCGAGAAGAGATGCTCTTATGGGTCATAAAAAGATGTCAAGACCTGGTTTTGGGAACAACAAAAGGAATTTGAGACAAGATTCCAGAGGTATTGTTTCTAAGCATAAACCTTATAAAGTCAAAACAAACCAAGCACAGAAAGAATTTAAGCTATCACAATGAAATGTTCCGGGCTGTGGTAAAATTTTCCACGATGCTAGTTCTTTAAGAAAGCATATGATGACTCATGGTGAAAGGCAATATGTTTGTGCTGTTGAAGGATGTGGGAAAAGATTTTTAGACAACTCTAAGTTGAAAAGACATCAACTTGTTCACACAGGAGAAAAACCATTTAAATGCGAAGTTTGAGGGAAATGCTTTTCATTGGATTTCAATCTCAGAACTCATCTGAGAACACATACAGGAGAAAAACCTTACATTTGTACCTATCCTGGATGTGGGAAAAGATTTACACAGAGCAGTAACCTAACAGCACATGAGAAGACACATAGGTAAAAATTTAAATAGAGACAACTCAATTCTTCGACAAATGAGGCAGAAGCAGAAGATGGCTAGTGCAAATACCAGGAAAAGAGCGATGAATGGAGCAAAGCCTGATGGAAAGCCAAGACCTGAGAAAGCTCCAAACTCTAGTTTAGAAGCTAAGAATTCAAATATCTATCACAATGTATCTGGGAGTTTTGTGCAGGGTAGTTCTCACAACCCAGAATTAGGCGGCTCTTTTGGAGTCATTCTGAATAAATCAAAAGAAGTAGAGGTCCGCAAAGGGGGTTCATTATTTTCAATTTCTTACCAAAGAGATGACCGCTTCAAAAGATACACAGAAGTTTTTGATAAACTCCACACAGATCTTAAGGAAGAAATAGATAAGAAGAAGGAAGAAGAGATTAAGATCAACGAGGATTCTCGCAATATCAAAAAGGAAGGAATCTATATTGACAAGGATGAAGTACTGATTGATATAAAGAAAATTTATGAGTTTCCAGAGCCTCCCAAACCACCCACTCCTAAGGGGTTCTTTAACAGAAAAGTTGGGTTTGGTTCAAATGACCTTGGAAAAGGAGGGATGCTAAATGATGACTATAAAACATCCTTTTTGACCGGAGATAGTAATTTCACTGATATTAGTAATTTAAAGACCTCCAATACCTATTTGTATAATGATTTGAATAAATTGGGAGAGATGAAACAGCCTCCTGATATGGACCCAGAAATGCTCAGATTATTGAAAGAGAACCAGATTAAAGTGGGAGTTGATACTGAAGAAAAGGAAGAGCCAGGAATTTATACTGTTCCTTCATTTCCAAATCAGCTTATACATCCAGAGAGTGATATTCAGAGAAGGATGAAAGAAATAAAAGAAGAAAGCGAAGCAAGAGTTTGTATTGAAGATATTGATAGAATTAAAGAAGAGATTCAAAATCCTTCTAATGGCATCCCATGTACTGATACTCTTGCTGAGATTGCAGAGCTAGATCTGCTTTCTCTAAATAAGCTGTTTGAAATTCCAGAGTATTTAATTGTAAGAAAAGCTCCGAGAGAACAGAATTTACTTGCTCATTTTGCGAATCCTGCTTCACCAAAGCAAACTAGTTTAGTGAAAAATAAGTCTTTTCTTTCTTCTATAAAAGATAAAAACATGCAAAGCTCAGATAAATCTCAAGTGGAAGTGAAAGAAGAAGGAAAAGATGCTAATGTAAAGGAAGAAGTTTCTGAGACAGAAGCACCTCAGAAAGAATCTGAGCCTCCTCAGACCAATGATGAAAAAATTAAGAAACTTCAAGAAGACACCCAAAAAATGCAGAAGGCTGAAGCCGAAGACATCGATGATAAGCCTTCTAAAGAGGTATCTGAAGAGTGATAAGATATAAATTTGCTATATTGACATTTTCAATTTATTCTCTCAGTTTAGGGGTTTTGGGGTTTTGGGGTTTTGGGGTTTTGGGG